CATTTGATTATATGTCAGGTATTGTACCAGGGCCTGGGATACAACGATAAAATAAAATGTAAGTTTCTGTCCTCAAGAAAACTCCAAGCCTAGTGGAGGGAGGAGGAAACAAACAATGTTAACAGTTATACTAAATGTGAACAAAAAGAATGATAGGAGAAGCACAAAAGCACAAAAAGCTATGGGAGGCCGGGTGTGGTGGCTCACGCCTGTAATCCCAGCACTTTGGGAGGCCGAGGCAGGCAGAACACCTGAGGTCAGGAGTTCGAGACCAGCCTGGCCAACATGGTGAAACCCCGTCTGTAGTAAAAATACAAAAAATTAGCCGAGTGTGGTGACAGGCATCTGTAATCCCAGCTAATCGGGAGGCTGAGGCATGAGAATCACTTGAATCTGGGAGGTGGAGGTTGCAGTGAGCGGAGATTGCACCACTGCACTCCAGGAGCCTGGACAACACAGCAAGACTCTGTCTTTAAAAAAAAAAGGTGAGAGAAAGCACAGTATTTCACCCAAGTAATTCAGTGTACTCATGGATTATGTGTGTGTATGTGTGGGGCGGGCGGGGGGGTAGTGTGTCTTCAAAGTTAGACTGGGAAACAGAGATTGGATAATGACTTGCTTTTCAGAAAGATCGTTCTAGCAGTAATGTGAAGAATGGGGTGGAGAAGAAGAAAGCCAAGTCCTTGAAACCATTTACGAGACCGCTACAGTTATCCAGGTAAAAGCTGGTGAATGGGCAGTGGGAGGGAAAGGAGGGGACGTTCAACAGCTACTTAGCTTAGGAGGTAGAATCAGGAAGACTTACTGACATCAAAGACAAAATGTACCAGACAATTACAGAGGTGGTTTTATTCGGGCCATTGCAATCGAGAACATGTTCATTAATTAATAACATCTCAGGGAAAAGGAAGGGGACCTGAGGTTTCATAGAGGCAGCGAAACAAAACAGTCATACGTGAATCTTATAAGGAAGGATGGACATGAGGCTTTCTATGGAATATGTGTGAGCAGGGTGGTTCTTTGCAGTTAGCTGTTTCGTTGGAACACAAAAGGTTGGAGGGTTTTGGAAAACAAAACGATGGGTAAATTTCTTAACTCACCTGTTTTACAGCAGCACAGGGCTCAGGTGGCTCACCAGTGTCGGAGACTAAGTGAATGCAAGACAGGAGAGTAAGGGAAGAGGCTGGGAAGACTGCCAGAATTCTAGACGGTGGATTACAGACAGGAGAAAACCCTTTTCCTCTACCTGGTAGGTTTAGTATCTGGGGCCTGCAAATGAAACTGAGAAAAGGCAGATGAACGGAAAGGTTATTTCACAAGCATGTGAGAACTTCACAGGGAAGAAGTGAAAACAAGAGAAGCAATTAGGAATGGGGGCTTATATGTCATTTTAACAAAGGACAAGTTGTGGATACATAACAAGACAAAGGAAGCGGGATTTGGGCATCTAGGGGCAGTAAATTATGGGAAGGTAAATATATGGGAGGCACTAATGGAAAATAATGGCTATTTTAGTAAGATTTGTTTATGCAGATTCAAGTTGGTGCTGACTTTCTGTCTCTTGTGATATGAGTTATTCTCCTTCTCTTGATATGGGAGAGGGGAAGAGAGACACTTTCCTTTGTAAGGAGAATTTTATACTCTGCTTTTAAGTGTTTCTTAATTGCCTTCCAGCTCAAAATCATACTTATGCCAAAGTGGCACAGTTTGGACTGGCGTATTCTGATCCC